CTGTATATATATATATACAGTTCTTCTAAGCTGTTTAATGTAGTTCTTACCTCCTCTCTGAGCTCATACTGATCAATGATGCTTTTCAGTTTTTCTGCAAGCTCTGTGTTCTCCTGACAGAGCTTCATATTTCGCTCACTCTGCTGCTCTATCTGTGCCTGGATATCTGTCAGGGTAGTTTGAAAATGACTTGTGATCTCCTTCCTTTTCTCTTCTTCCTCACGTGCCCGCTGGAGGGTTTCCTCCTATGGAAAAAATAAAAATATTTTATTATGGTGATTTAAAGCCCTAAAGGTTTAAAGAACTCAGGACAAGGTCAGCAAAAGGAGACTAGTGTGCAGAGTAAGTGGGATATTTTTTTCTCAGTTCTCTACAGCTAAAGTTGCTTAGTCCTAAAATAAATGTATGAGCACAGGTTTCAGCTGTGAGTACACAGTCTTCAGAACAGGTGTTGTGAGGATCTTGAATTGAATTTGATCTTGGTGATGAATAGACTTGTTTTAAAGTTGATGGGTCTCTTGCCGAGTAAATGAACGGCAGGGATTTCTGACAAACACACAGCCACATGGTTTTGATTTCTTGGTTGTGGCCTGGAAAAAAGACCCCTTGGATTTACTGATTGATGGGACAGATCATGGGTTACTTTAGTTTGGTACAGGAAGAAGAGCAGTAGATTTAACATTTGTCTATAAAAAACATGGCAAATTAACCACATATCTCATTACTCCAGTTTTATAAGTGATCACAATGTGAACTTTTTCTTAAGAAGCCTTTCATCAGAATGCTTAAAAATAAATTAAGATGAATATAGGTCAGTAGAGGCCATTTAAAAATATAAAAGGAAATCTTTCCAAATATACTAGATATTTTATTTCTGGAAGATCAATCATTCCATGTGTCACATGGGGTAATTTAAATGCTCAATGTAAATTTTGAATCTGAAAGTAATATTAAGTTTAAAATCTCTTTAATTCTAAAATTAAACCTATAATTTCCCTTTACTCTTTGTTAACATTGAAGAATTCGAAATTAAATTTTATATTATTTCTGTTCTTTTGTCCTAAATCAGAACTTTCTGTTTATTTCTAACCACTAACAGTGTGCCCAAATTCTCTCTATATCTGTATTGAGAATTATTTGCTTTGTGATTGTTTCTCTCATTCTTTTAGAATAAAAGGGTTTGATCTTGCTACATCATACCAAAGATAGAGACACACTGCTGACAAATGATACAGACATTTTAGGATTCCATTCAATTCTGATTAATTGTTAATATGAAAGCTTCCTTCATTGTTGGCAAGTAAAATTACACGGCAGTTATCTACCAAGTTCAAATTATATAATAGGAATTTTAAAAAGAAATAATTATTTTAGCAGATGTAATTGCATGAATCTGTATTTTGATAGAATAATGTGGTCAAAATAAATACTGATCCTAAAAATATATGCAGTTCATTTCATCTTTCTTTTACAATATTAACACATTTCCTAACTCTAATATAGCCATCTGAATAATAATTTATCCACATCATAAACCTGTATCAAGCAAAAACTTCTCAGGGATATTGTCGAATATATTTGTACTTCCTAATCTGAAGAAATTAATCATCTGAGATTGACTTTCCTGAGTTTTATATACTAATGTTTACTATATGTATTTTACTGAAAATGATTATGACTGTCAGTTAAGAGCAGTTGAATATACATATAACAGTGATTGTCACCTCATTGCTCCTTATATATTTACAAGTCAATAAGCTTTGAATTATAGAACTAAAGACTATGATCAGAATTCATTTGCATTTATAAATATCCCAGCCATATTCATTCCACAAATGAATAAGTAAATGAAAGAACCATCCCAGGCTACCCCAGAATTCTTGAGTTTTTCCCAGAAGACGGCTACTGAAAGAAAGTGCATTAAACACATGTCAAATCATCATAGCACTCCACAAATGGCATCTTGCATTTTTGTATTATATTGTTCTTCAATGAGACAAAAGTAAATCTAGGAAATCTTTTAAAATTTGAGTTTTTCATTGATTAATAATTTTCAGTCATTTGAACAGTGACTGAGATAAAATTTTTTTTCTTTATTAAGCACATTTTTTGAAGTGAAAATCAATGGTACAAATAAGTTTGAGGGACAAAGCCTGAAACAAACTTTGTAGGCCTCATTGTGTATCTTAGAACTAGTGCCATGCCTGGTTCATAATCCATAGATATGCCATAAATGTTTATTTAATGAATCAGTAAATGATTAATTTATGTACAGACATCTGAGTAGCTTTGACTAGTTGATTCCTATAGTTCTTTTCATATTAAAATTCTGCAAAATGCTGACAACAAGTGCTACTTATTTCTTTACCTAAATCATGTTCCTTAAAACATTCATTTCTTACTAAGAAGTTTTCAATATAGTTTGAGACTTAGATTTACTGCTTTAAACTTAGGTAATATTTTATGGAAACAAGACCATGTCTCAGAGTTTTACTGGTCTTTTCAAAATTATTCTAAATTGTGAGATTTTATGTGTGTGTTTAATTCACTGAAGAAGGATTTTTTTTTTTTTTTTTTTTTTTTAGTGCGGGGATTGAACCCAGGTCCTCGCTCATGCTAGGCAAGCACTCTACTACTGAGCTACATTCCTATCCCTTTTTATTTTACTTTTTTTTGAGACAGGGTCTCAGTAAGTTGCTCAGGCTGGCCTCAAACTTGTGATCTTCCTGCCTTAGCCTCCCACGTAACTGGGGTTATAGGCAGGCACAACCGCATATGGCAGAGAAACAATTTTAATAAAAAATAGTAAAAGTTCAAATTTATAGTGGTAGAAAGACCTGGTTATACATTCTCTTTCTATGTCTTCCCAAGCTTCTACTACATAAAATTTAGACTCAAGTACTGAGGCTGTCTCATTATTATGGTCAAGGAAACTCAAACCAAGTTGAATCTTCTACAGATACCAACTATAAACTCTGGGAAAAATGCAAGAAACAACTACTTAAAGGAACTGGAGGGTAAAAATTTATATATAATTTTAGTTTCATAGTTATTATAACTGTAAGCTTGAGGGAAGACTGTAGTTGACAACAAAATGAGATAGGAAAAACTTCCAGAGAAAGCCAACATACCATCTTTCGGGTCTGTAGGACTGAAGAGTTCTGGGCAACTATAGCCACTGAAAGGTGAGAAGGAGATTCCCAGGGAATAGAGAGGGACAACCCTAAATTCTGTAAATAAACACTGCCCAAATCTCTGAATGACCATGAAGTGTACATGTGCAGGATAGAATCAAAGCAATCTAGCTAAGGAAAAAAGAACTAAAATTAAATTTTAGTTGCTGTCCAAGAGGCAAAAGTATGTTTTGATTCTGACCAAATTAATTAGTTAAAAAAAATAATTTACATTCTTCATAGGAGTATAGTAGAATCCAGACTCTCTACAATATTAGTCACAATATCCAGGATACAATTGACAATGACTTACATGAAAAACCAAGAAAAAAGTGACTCATTCTCAAAAGAAACAACAATCAGAGTAGGCCTGTTCTATAATGACTTTGATAGAGAATGAGCAGGGGAAAATTTTAAAGCAAGTATTAAGACTATGCTTAATGACATAACACTATCACAATGAATTTAAAAAAATGGAAAATCTCAGTTGAGAACAATAATTTACAAAAAGAACCAAGCATAAATTCTGAAATTAAAAATTATTAAATCTGAAATTTAAAAGTAACTGGATGGATTTATAGAATAGAGATGGACAAAGGAAAGAATCAGTGAATATGAAGATAGATCACTAGAAACATGTAATCTGAAGATAAAAGAGAAAAGAGACTCAAAGACCTGTGGGACAATATCAAGTGCTCTAACACCCATGAAACTGATCTCAAAAGGGAGGGAGACAGAGGAGGGGCAGGAGGAGGAAGAAGAAGAGAGGAGAGAAGAGAAGGGGGAGAGAGTGAAAGAGAGAGAATGGAGTAGCAAAAAATATTAGAAGAGATAGTGACTGAAAAATCCCCAAATTTTGTGAGGAAAAATATATACAAAAAAACTCAGCAAATATCACACCCGATATATATGAGGAAAACCACTCCCAGACATAAAGTGGTTAAAGTTCTTAAAACCAAATAGCAACAGAAAGACTGTGAAAGTAGCCTGATAAAAGTGACATATCACATGTAAGGGAACAACAACCCAAATTATTATTGATTTCCATCAGAAATTAATGGAGGTTAGAGTACAGTAGAACAGTTAAGTAAGGATGAAATTTTTAAAAAAAACATGAACAAATCCTATCAACACTGAATTCTATATCCAATGAACACTGTCTTCAATGATAAAAATAATGACAACAACAATAACAAAACATTTTTAAACATAAAAGACTAAGATAATTGATTGCCAATAAGATTATACTATAATGAGTAGTGAAGGAGTTCTTCAGGCTGAAAGAAAGTGATAATAGAAAGACAAGAATGGTAAATGTGGGCTGGGGATGTGGCTCAAGTGGTAGCACACTCGCCTGGCATGTGTGCGGCCCGGGGTTCGATCCTCAGCACCACATACAAACAAAGATGTTGTGTCCACTGAAAACTAAAAAATAAAAATATTAAAAAAAAAAAAGAATGATAAATGTCTAAGTAAAGAAAAAAGACAGTTTTTGCCTTTAACTTTTAAAGGAATATATACGATGGTTAAAATAAAATTATAACATTGTCTCATGGGCTTTATAAATGTATATAATGTGTGTGTGTGTGTATATATATATATATATATATATA